TTTGCGGCGCACATTTAAATGATTGACCCTGAACGCAGTTAAATCTCCCCTCATTGTTCGCAATTTTTATCTCATGCTCATATCGAGTTTCTTTGGACGAGACGGATCCGCGATGGATAGATTGCGTTTGACGTTGAACGTATAACGAATGGGAGCATGAATACAAGACATTTTATCGGGGAATTATTAACGCGTTCATGAAATATTGAACAAGATATATCCGATACGTCGGCATTCTTAAACATTTGTCGAATATAAAAATGTAAATTTCGATCGTACACACGCATTTGACACACATTCTCTTCCTTTCTGTGTGTGCTCCGTGGTCATGTGAGACAAATCGTTCCCTTTAGGAGCATAAAAATACTTAGGGCCATGGCATACAAAAAAATTTAAGCAGTAAAACGTAAGACTTAAGAAGTAAGGAAATCAACATGTTGGATTCGCTGCCATGCCCACATTAGGGTAGGTCCACAATTTTGCTTTAAGAGGCCTTAAGTCGAAAGAGATAAAGGGTTTCAGCACACAAAGATAGTCGTAACTGAGTCGTAGTCATAGATCAACGCACAATGTTTTGGCCAATCTACAATGACTTATATTCCACGCAGGGTCTGAGCTGAACAAGAATTGCTGTAACACTTAGAGACTTAAGTTGCGTTACGTAAGTAACGCACAAGCTTTGCTATTTATTGCCGTCTCTTGGAGACATGGCAATAAGTTGTACGTCATACGTGAAAGCTTATGCGTTACTTATATTTACAATTTAAATTTAAGTAAGTGTTACGATAATTCTTGTGCCCAGACCCACGGTTATCTTTGTGCTTATATCCTAAACAACAATAATTTCTGTTTTTGCGCAGTTTTTATGGTTTTAAGCCGTTAGATTTAAGCAAATTGAGCAAAACCCAATTCTTACGCCTAAAAGCATAAGTTTTGTGGCCAATATATCATCACTTACGTCTTCTACATTAGTTGCAAGCCAATCGCAAGTTTGTTGCGACAGCCAATCTGAAGCTTGCATTTTGAAATCAACTTCATATTGGCTGTCGCGACAAACTTGCGATCGGCTTGCAACTAATGTAGAACTGGCTTTATGGCTTACGGCCTCATAAAGCAAGATTGTGAACTTACCCTTAATGCTGATTCTACAATGAGTCTGTAGTTAAAAATTTTAGTTTTAATCAGTGAAGTTGGCCAATCAGCGTTACTCATAGAAGTTGGCTATTGGTCAACTGATAAGACTTAGGACTATCGATTACCGACTCATTGAGAATCAATATATGGTTTTATGATCTGTATTGTGATTATTCGATTTAGTTACTGTTTAAGTCTTATGTCTTAAGTTTTTCTATGTGTCATTAGGTCTGAGAACAAGAATTGTAACATTTACTTAGAGACTTAAGTTGTAGACGTAAATAACGCATAAGGATCTGAGCACAAGAATTGTCGTAACACTTACTTAGACTTAAATTGTAGACTTAAATTGTAGAATTGTAAGTAACGCACAAGCTTTCAGGTACAACTTATTACCATGTCTTCAAGAGACGGCAATAAATCGTATACGTCAAAGCTTGTGCGTTACTTACGTCTAAAGTCTCTAAGTAAATGTTACGACAATTCTTTCTTGCGTTCAAACCCTAAGTTTTGGCGTATGTCTCTTGGAGACAACAAATTATACGTCGTATGTGAAAGCTTGTGCGTTATTTATGTCTACAGCTTAAATTTCTAAGTAAATGTTATGACAATTCTTGTGCTCAGATCCATTACCTTAAACAAGCACGCACGTTCTCACGAGTGGGTACAGAAAGGCACGCAATAAGAAGTCGGAAGGATACAAGATGAACGGAGACGCTTCTCGCGTTCTCCGCATATTTTCTTTCTCGAATGTCTAAGTTTCCAAGCGCTCGGAATGTAAGGGAGTTTCGGTATACGACGCGTGTTCCATCCGGAAGGCAGCATTCCGATAAATTATCGAGTGAATTTTTTCCTCGAATTGACGATAATTCATAATTCATAATTCGACGATAACGTCGATCATCTCGAGTGTGCTTAAATGGGACTACTTAATTCGATAAAACGATAAAAGAAGAGGACTATTACTGGGATTCGCGAGACTGATTACGCTTTATTACAGCTTGTAATAAATAGTACTCCTCTTGCAAAACACTTGATATCATAATTAACGTTACTGAAGCGTACAAGAACACAGGAAGATTTCTATAGTCAAATTGTGTGAAGGTAAAATTTTCGAATTTATTTCGAGGCTAAGGAATAAGTATATATAGTTGTCCGTTTATGTTATTTACTATTATTTAAGTTGTAGAAAATTAATATGTTAATTAATTTATAATACAAATGTTATTAAAAATAGAGATAGACTTGAAAATTTTGAGTGTCTCATCTTTTGCTCCGACTTTGTGACTTCTAAGAAATCTGTTACTTTCTCATCCAGGTTTTTTAGATTTTTCTTTATACATTGAATCTAATCTATCTAAGTCCCTATATTTTTAATAAGTTGTATATTACAAATTGATTTTCTACGTTTCAAATCTAGTAGTAAATAACATCTATAGAATCATGTTCATTTATTTCTTTCACTGAAATAAATTCGCAATTTCATTTTCAATTTGATAATATAAATCTTCCCCCTTCCCTCCCCTTATGAAACGCAATGTCGATATATATTTTATGAATCTGGACATAAGTATTAGGTTAGGGAAACAATCTGTTTACAATTTGGTAAAGACTTTTTTAATAATCCATATATTCTATTTTTTTTTAAATTGGCAATTACACCACTTGTTAGAGCACGTTGCAACATTTCAGCTTTAAGAATCTGTATTTTTAATTGCAATACGATAATTTTTAATGAAGTTACGAATAATAAAGTAAGAATGTTTCTTTTTATTTAATCAGTGAGTAACTCAGAAACAATCGTAGGAATATTTAAAAAAAATGATTTTATAGAAAAAGCTTCACAATAGTCAAAAATTTTTTTGGGCTACATGCTACAGACTTACAAAGTGAAAAAAAAATTTTTCATTTTTTCAGCTCATTTTCTATATTTTAGTAAAACTCACATAAATTCAAAAAATACAGTAATTATTCGAAAATAGAGATTTCAAGCTTAAAAATTTTTTTTTTTATTTAAATTTTGCTCATTTTTAACAAAGATATTGGATATAGGAAAGATTTTCTATCAACTTGTAAAAAGACTTTTTTCCTAATCCAATATTATACCTATGTGCAGATTCTATAGAGATTTCATTTCGTTGTGTCATATTTAAAAAAAAATATCGTACAGAAACAAACGCATCTTAGCAAATCTTTCTTCGCACGCATGCATGCATACAACACGCACGCAACAGAACACGCGCATCTATTGAATAATATTTAATTCAAACAAATCGCCAATTGCATTTCGCTGGAGCTCGTCTTTTGCGATTGTTACTTTGTGTGCGCAATCTCGCAATGAGCTACATTAATTTTTATGAATTATATCTGGAAATAACTATTGAGTTTTCACAGCACGAGCACATATTCTAAACTTTTCTCTTTGATTATCGTGAAAAATTGGAACGCAAGTTGTTTGTCAGAAAGGAACGTATCAAGACAAAAATAATGTAAACGCCAAAATCGGCCAAAACGACGCATTATTCCTCAGTTTTATTAATTTTGAAACATAAAAAATTATTTTCAACAATTCATATCTTGCCAATAATATATGCTAACAATGTATATTGAACATCTTAAAAATAACAAGACTAATAAACAAATCCTCTCAATTCGCCGACACTAATATAAGAGTATATCTAAATAAAGAAACGTTATATATAATCAACTAAAAGCACACAACTTTTTCGTGGCAAAATCCGATCTACGCTGTAACCGTTTCTATATATATCGCAGAACATATTTTCAATTCCAATTGAAAAATTTAACATAATCCAATTAATCAATTCTCAATTGCGAGATTATATTTAGGGCGTTTGGTTATTTCCAAAAGTTCTTTATACAATAGTTAGTCTTAATTTATCATTCTTTGAATGTGTCGAAATATCTAGATCTCGTTTCCTAGCCGGTCGCTCTTCCATTTACTTATAGGTATGTTTATTGTTTATGACATGTGTATATAAAAAAATATGAATCGTCTCGTTTCTTCTATTAGAGGTAGATACGCAGGAAACAGAAGCGATATTCTCTTATGTTATTTTTTACCATTTTTTTTCTTTTGGGTGCATTTTAATCATTATATGCGCCAGGTCATCTCTCTTGCGATTAAAAGTAATCCTCTTCTTCGAAATTAATCGCGTTGTTTGGATTCGTTTAAATCACACTTTACAAAGTGCGCAACACAATAATTATAACACGTTAAAGCATACTTAGATAAAAAAATAATAATGATTAATTGCCGCAAGAGAGAGAAACAAATTTCGGATTAAACACGAACCTACAGATATTTTGTAAAATAGTTACGTGGCATCTGGTGCAATAATCCAACAATTTCTACCTATAGCACTTAGGGTGCCAACTAATTTTAATTTACTTACATACATTTCTATAATATAATAAAATAATTAGCTGGTCTATATATATATATGAATGTGTGTGTGTGTGTGTGTGTGTGTGTGTGTGTGCGTGCGTGTGTGCGTGTGCGTGCGTGTGTGTGTGTACACACACACACACACACACGCACGCACACACACATACTTCAAAGACACAAGAGCCTATAAGTAGGAAGTTACAATTTTTTCTCTTACCTGACAATAAACACTTTTTTTTATTGCAAAAGAATTCGTGTTCTACATTTGGTTAAGTCCAAACTAACACTGGTTTTGTACGCGCACACGTATAAAGATGTGTATGCAAATATATACAATTACTGGATTGAAAGACAAACTATTAAAAAATGGAACATTAATGGAAAGTTGCAATGTCTGCATATACAACTATTTTATGTACATAAATTCGATTATGCAGAGTAGCGATACAAATAATTAATGAGCGTTAAAATATTAATTGAAGCATTATAAACAAGAACCAAGTAATATCCTACTCCGCTTGTTCTTTTTGATAGGAAATGCGCCGTAATCTAACGGAACGTTGAATCTCTTGACTACTTCGTCGTTTTACTAAATTGCTTTTATTGCGTCTCGCTATTTCTCTTAAACACAAGACGAAAAGATGCTGCATCGTTCCTCGAACTTGATATCTTAGCTTATGCATTCCAGTACAAGATCGTACAATTATTCTCGTCACTTTTCAGCATCGTTATTTTTAACAGTTGAAAGATGATTTATCGTTGATCACCAACGATGAACACCTTACATCGGCGGCACATCTCGGATAAGATGACGCGGATGTTTAATGGCATGGATTTGTGTAAAATAACAGCAATGCGGCGACTGGCATCTCCGTAACGCGTAATAATAACGTTCTTGATGGCTGCAACGTTTCGCGCTAATGTACATCGCCGACTTGACGTCAGTCAGAACTGCTGCTATTGCCGAAATATTCTCCGGCATCGCCGCGACATATTGGACACGTTCGGTTAGACTGTATAATGAAATTAACATTTGGAGAATATAATTAAAACATTTCGATTAAGTTAAAATCAAGAGAAATATTGTATGACTTACCTTAAGCCATTTATCGATGCACTTAGAATGAAATTCATGAGAACACGGCAGAACACGTAGAGATTGAAGCGCTTCGAAATCACACATACACACGACACAATTGGTTTGATCGCCCTGATGTGTCTCTGCATTGAATTTGTAAGAGGGCAGCTGTTCGACTTCCGCGCGTGTCAAACCCCGCGGCTTAGCTTCGCCCAGTCTTTCAGCTAAGGATAGTAACGCCTCATAGTTCTCCGTGACCGAATCGGGTGAAGACAATTCAGCCTGATTGTAGGGGGACAATGGTGGATTGCTAAACATCGCTCTATAAATAAATATTATCGTGTGAATTAAATTAATATTTTGCACGCCCTTAAGAATTATAATTATACGTTCAAGCTTTACGCACAAGAAGTGTAATAAATATCCCGGATAAGCCATAGGTAATTGCGTTGTATTCCTCCATCTACCGAATCTCGGCCGTCGCAAGACGTTGGATGTTAATCGTCGAGTTCTATTCTGTACAATTTCCAATTGACTGTTTCGCGTTTCCGATAAGAATAAGGGTGGCGGTGTCGTCACCTGCGTAAGAGCTGGTGGAGAATACGAATGTGGTAACGGCAATGGTGCACCAGCTGCGGCACCCACTCTATGGTGATGATGAGACTCTATCAATTCGAGCTCAACTTCTCTCTAGAAATATTAATATAAAAAAAGAACATTAGTAATTACGTAAAAATATTGTAGTTTAATGAAAATTTTTTTCTGGAGGATTTATATGTAATATTCAATATACAGGATAATCCGGTAATGATTGCATAATCTCTCGTGAGCAGGTAGAG